CACTTAATATTTAGGAGCTACATCAGATTGGATCTTATCACAAGAAATGTATATTTTATTACTTAGAACTGCTGTGTAAATATTGGTTTGTTTAAGAATATAGAACAAGCAGGAAAAGGTGTTTTACAACTAGCGGAAACCAGAAACAGAATGGGCAGAGATATGAAACTTACTGATATGGTAATGTTCATCACAGCAAATCCATGTGTTTTAGAATACTAGGTTAGTCTGAACACTTGATAGTTTGTGGCTAAAAGATACATCTAGAAGGCTGCAGATACAGTATAGGACACTATATACTGTGGGAAGAATGGAAATCAGCTGATCAACAGAGAATCTGAAGCAGTCATTGTGTACAGGCCAGAAAGAAATCTTCCTATCCACTACTACCCCAAAATAAGACACTGCCTTCTAATTTGTTTGGCTCAAGAAAACACACTAGGTCTTATTTTCGGGGTAGGTCTTATTTTTTTTTATTATGTACAACAATCACACTTATTCATGTAGAAAAGTCTACATGTATTCATGTACAAAAATATGGTGATCAGGGCAATCAGGGGTGCCGTACCTTTCCAAGAGCAATTTGCTAACCAATCGCTGGCCAGAATGAGCGAAGCGCACTTTCACTATCGATTCATCACAGGCAGAGTGTATTTGGTATCACTCCGCCTGTGACAGGAGCCGGCGCTATGGAGGAAGCATCGCTTATGCGGCTCTGATCCTTCCGCTGCCGCCCCGCTTCCTCTAGCGCTGGCTTCGTTGGCACCGCTAATTCTCTCCTGCCTCTCCCGCGGCTCTTTAAGTTCCCCCTTATGCCACCAGCGGCCCCCGGGAATGGTCACAACTAGATCTTATTTTCGGGGTAGGTCTTATATTTTAACAATTCCCAAAAATAGTACTAGGTCTTATTTTCGGGGAAACCGGGTATATAGCTGTATGAAATAGCTACCCATTAGTTTGCCCACTCCTAATGCAAAGAACAAGGTGCACAAGCTCATAGCAACCAATCAACAATCATCCCTCCCTTTTAGATTGTAAGCCCTCAGGGGCAGGGCCCACCTTACCATTTTGTCTTGAATTGTAATGTCTTCCTTATATTGTAAAGTGCTGCGCAAACTGTTGGCACTATATAAATCCTGGATAATAATAATAACCCTTACAGATTTCCGCATGATGCAGCAGCTAGTTTAGTGTAATAGGTCATATCATTACATTTTATACATACAGGTGTGGTATAATATCAGTTTGAAGGCATACAGTGATCTCTGCTGTCACCTGGCCTGTAATATAGGATAGTGTAGCAGGAGTATTCTGCTTAAAGGAGAACTATGAGATGAGTGATTTCCACTCACCTCATAGTTCTAAGCCAACCTGTGACAATGAGACTGTCACAGGTCGGCTCAGTAGATCGGGAGGTGAGAGAACACATACCGGGTTCCCTCACCTCTCGATCCTGTCACAGCTCTCTGCCGTGACAGGGGGAGGGGCTGGATTCCCCTCTCCGATCTGCCAGCGCTGACTGGCGGAACGGACGGAGGAGGGGGCGGGTACAGCTGGCTCTGCCTCTAGATAGGCAGAGCCAGCTGTCACTCACGCAGCTGGGCGGATCCCATCATCTAAGTCGGGATCCGCTCCAGGTGCGGCGTCTCAGTATACCGCGAACTGTAGCTCGCGGTATACTGAGCTTAGGGTAACGGGAGGACGCTAGTTTGTGTCCTCCCGTTACCCCAAGGAGAACTATGGGGAAAAACACTGACCCCATAGTTCTCCTTTAACAGATGCTAAAACAAATATCAGCAGAGGATACTATGAATATGCAAGGTAAGTACTGTGCCTTAACTGTGCTCTTTACTGCTGGAGCATGAACCTTTTTCCGAATACCAACAGATACAAGTCTACTGACTTCCTAAAAATGCCTACTGGCTATGGAGTTGCACATGAATTTGTCCACCTTGACTGACACAAGAATATATGATGATGTACATGAATACAATTTTACTCACTTGCCCTGAAAAAAGTCCAAAACCCAGAATATTTGTTATTCATTTGTTAGTAAACGGATACCCCATAATCTCAAACAATTGGCTTGATAGAGGTATCAGAAATGTATTGGTTACCAAGTGTAAAAAGTGAGACTTAAGCAGCACAGGATAGTGTTTGACAAAAACACAGATGTTCTCACAAATCATGTTTATTTGAAGAAGAAATGCACACACACAGATACCTGGAATTGTTTAATTTAGCTGCTGTACAAAAAAACAAAATACACCCTTACCCTATTTTAGAAAACAGCAGAAATAAGACATAAGCTGCTAGTGAAAAAGTAATGCTCCACATGTTAATCTGGAAGAAAGAAGTGACTTCATGGTAAATAGTGAATTTCAGCTATTTCTGCTTTTACTGGAGGATTTCGGAAAAATGTGTAGATTTCAGTGGCTGCTCTGAGCAAAACAACTGATTTCCTTGAACTAGAACTTAAGCCAACATTTGTTTTAGTTTTAGATAACATAAAGGAGGGTTATAACCCGTCAGACTTTTTTTTGCCATCTGTGTTCCATTAGGTAGATTTCCTTTCACTACCTGTCTGCCACAACAGGAAGTAAGAGGAAATCTCTTGTGGTCAGAACTAGTGTCCCCATTGAAAATTTCCCATCTATTCCTGTTCTGGTGAAAAATACAGAGGATGAATCTCCCTAATGGGGACACAGACAGCAATAAAAACCTAACATATGGTCTAATCCCCCTTTATTATCTAAAGCTGGTCATACACCTGTCATTTTCTTTTGTTCAACCCGGGGGCTGAACAGAAGAAATTTATGCAATTCCTCCATCAACACAAACAGTGTAGCCGCCGGCACCTGTCAGAATACCCGATCAGAGAGAGCAGCTCATTGGCTGCTGGCTCTGATCGTACAGGGATTTTTAAGCTGGCTCCTTCGATCAGCTGATTGAAGAATCCCGGCTGAAAGGGAGCCTACAGCCCCATGCACTGGCCAAATTAAAACCTGGCCAAAACAAAAGAAAAAAGAAATTGGCTTCAGTTGCACTTTAACTCCATCTAACAGAAATGGAGGCTGTACCTCACCATGGAGAATAATGTAGTGCTGCGAGATCAAAACACCCATATGACCATCTTCAGAGTTTGACCACTCAACCAGTAGCTTCTTTAGTTCATTTAATGAGAAGGAATGTCCAGAAATGTCAAGTAAACCTGTCATCAGAGAAAAAGGCTGCTGTTCACCGCTGTGTCTTACTTCATAAGCTTGAGTCACAGACGCTAAGCAAGCATGCAGCAAATAAGAAAGTCAGGTTTCCTTGAGCCAAGGAGAGGTCAGCATTGGAAGTTCATATATTTCATTCATGACAGGTGCAGTTTAAACCCTTATGGGTTGTCCAGTCGACATAATGTCACACGCACCAAGAGGCAGGAGATATCTGATGTAAACTCAAGGTGCAATTGCTGTTAAAGAGACCAGTTCTCTAAAGAAATCCAAATGTCATCGCCCTGTAAGAGAGGAGGTAGTGTAGCCCAGTCTCTTGCCTTCCCTCTGTTCCAGTGCGGCAGCCTGCATCAGTGTCTTAAGCATTTGGCTCTTCAGGGAGTGTCACATGCATGTGTTCCCTGTTGTGCATCGTAGTTTCCTGCTGTGCTGGAATGGAGGGGAAGTAGAAGACATGGGCAACAAGAGAGGCTAGTATACTAAATCTTCTCTTATAGGGAGCGGATGTCTAGATATATTGTAAAAACCTGTCAGGGTCTCTTTAAATAAGCAGGTGTTAACTGGTATTAAAGAGCTGAAGATGTGAAACTGTATGTTGCTGAGAGGTGGCATCAAGTCTTTGTTTAGAAAAGGTTCTTTTAATATGAGACAAATGGCCTTCTTTACAACTAATTAAAACCATGTGTCTTCTATGGCCATGGCCAACAACTGTATCTTACAGTTCTCAAGACGGTGTTTAGTCTTTAGGTGTAGGAACAGTACTGAGCCTTGATCAAAGCAGTTTTTCAGTTGTTTTTTTTTAACCTCAGTATGTAGGTATGGACTCTCCTTACTGCCCTGGCCTACATATACCACATTGCTTTCCTTATGATTGGGTGATGGATCTGGTGTGTTCTGAGTTAGAAAAATACAAGTATTTTCTAAATATTCCAACACTCCAGCCATATATGAGATAGCTATGATATTCTGACTCTTCAGCTCGTCCCCTCTGCCTGTCAGTTTGATGTTCTTGGTCTTTAACAAAAGCCTAGTATTGGTAGCTGCAAGCATTACAAGTTCCTCTACAGTATTTAGGCCCCAATTACACCAATATTTTAGGTGCGATAAAGGAATTCCTGCATCAGGAACTTGCAATTTCCTACAGCAGGTATCCCTAAATTGGCGTTTACCAGCAGCAGCTGTCACCCATTAAAGTTAATGATCAAGTGACAGCCGCTGCATTTGAATGCGACACACTGCATGTAATTGTATATGATGCAATAAAATGCGGTTAGGAATCAATCACTATCCCTGGATGCATCGATTGTGCATCCAGAGAGAGTCATTGATTCCTAACCGCACATAAACATATCACATACGATTACATGCGGTGTGCTGGACCTAAAATATAGGTATGAATGGGGCCTAACTTTACTTGTCCTCAGAATTAGTATTGGTCATCACCGCCTCAGTCACTTACAATGTTGCCCTGTTTTTAAACCACTTTGTTCTGTAACCTCATTTAACATCTGTCTCAGTAAGCTGTGTATTCCATGGCCTGCAAACTTTCACAGTCATTTATCAAGCTTTATAATCAGTCTTAAAAATAACAGATCTTGAAAACCTGTAATGTAAAAAATATTAATTTGAAACAATGTGTTGTGTGCATGAAGTTGTTCACTGCACTGAAATTGTTTTGGCATATAAAGATATTATAGGGCACATAGAAATATATTTAGGAAATAAAATAAGAGAATTAGACTGCATGGCTAAGAGGCTTCTAAGTCCTTATTTACTCAGTTTTTGGTCCTAAAGAAAGTTGGATACATTTATTGATATCCATCAGGCGAACACGTTCAGAAAATGTGGCTCTTCAGCAAAGAGCCTAAACTTCTCCAATAAGAAGCACCATCATAAAAGTTAATTATAGCCACAGACTACTTATTTTAATTTCCTGTTCCAGTTCCCAGAATCCAATATTTGCAGTTATCGCTGGCTGAGATATGATACAACATATATTAAGCCTATAAGGAGCAAACCACGAAAACCCATCATTAGAATAAGAAAGAGGATGAGAATGGACATGACTGGCTCTACCACCTGGTTTCCAAGATTCCAGCGTGGGAATCCCATGTTCACCAACTGCTGATTAAAGTCAGTAAAAGGAGAGCGCCCCTCCTGTCTTGCCCCGTCTTGTGGAACCTGTTGTGGTCCTGGTCCAGTGTTTCCCATTGTGTTAAAACCCTGTATGCATAAGAAAGGATATAAACTACAAGGAAACTCTGAATGAAGACAAAGCAAATCAAACCAAGGAAACATGTAAAATGGCGATTATCATATTTTGCGCTCTACAAGGTGCACCTGACCATAGGAAGCAGGGAGGATAGGGTTCTGTGACAGCTGCAGTTAGTGACAGCTGAGATAGGTGGCGCTGTGATTACAGCGCAACAGTTTCAGTGATCACACAGAGCAGGCGAAGAACGGATGTTCTCTGTCTGCTCTACGGGCTCTATGGTGAGATCCTATGCCATGGTCACGGGTCCCCCGGAGGAGCGGGGGACCCCGAAAACCACGGCGGGGGTGCCCGGACACGATCGCCGCTCGATTTGATACAAGTGATCTCATTAGATCACTTGTATTAAGCGAGCAGCGGCTCCCACTGTACATTTAGCTCTGCTTGTCCGAAGCAGGGCTGAATGTACAAAAAAAATCCAGCGCACGTAACTGCATGTCCCAGGCGTCGGGCGAGAGGGATTCGCTCCATAAAAGACGCACAGACATTTTTGCCCACCTTTTGGGGGGGGGGAAGGTGGGTCTTATGCAGCGAAAAAATACGGTATACATTTTTATATCTGCAATGAATGTATATTTTATAATCCCTAAATAACATTTTTATTAAACATATAATTATATATAGCTCAAAAGACAGCCGCACACCACCGAATCTTCAATTGTAAATCCAATATTTAATGTAATCCACAAGTGTACACCACAGACGTGCTCCCGAATACAAGACTCTTTACACATAAATCGGTGAAACGCGTAAGTGATTCTTGTTGTATTGGGGAGCAAGTCTGTGGTTGACACTTGTGGATTACATCAAATATTGGATTAACAATTTAAGATCCGGTGGTGGGTGGCTGCCCTTTGAGCTGAATGGATTGAAGGTGACCATGCAGTTGTTTTGCCTGCGAATTGGAGTGGTGAGATTTTTCTGTGAACTTTAAAACAGAATTATATTCCCATACATCTGTTCACACATAATGGGTAAACAGTCTCTATATTTCTGCCCTCGTGTATTTTTATTATTGTAGGCAGAGAACAGTTCGGTTAAAGTATTTACTTTCTTGTATAAAAGATATAATACAAATGCAAAAAAGGTCTCACCTGGCGAGGATTATTATCTCTACGTTGCGTGCTTGCCCTTACTCGAGGGTCGTCATCTTGAACGATCTCCCCATTTGCCAAGATTCTTACCATTTTGAAGTAAATATGAACTTTGCTTAGCCTACAGGAAACACAATTTCCAGTATAAACAATAGATCATTGTAAGAAAAAGCACATTTGAACATCCTAACAGTGTACAATTTGCAGCTCAATTCTTCAATTGTCCTTACCTATCACATACTGCACATTAATTCAAGAAATGACACACAATGATGCAGCTTGTTTACAGTATAGTTACCAAGTGTCCCACTTTCTGCAGTGAGCACAACCTTAGACAGAGAAGAAGAGACTATTACTATGTCTCAGTAATAATCTATACAGTTGCCAGAAACCTATTTAAACCAAACCTTCAGAGCAGATAATTCTGGGAGTTCTGAAATATCAACACCACATAACATAATGATGTATATGATTTTCACTGCAGTATATCTTGCATTTATACCACCATGATTTTGTCCAAAGTTCTCCTTTTACCCCTTTATGACCACTTTAGATTGTGCAGTGTGTAAAATTAAAGGAAACCCATCACAAAAAAAACCCAAACAAACACAGGACTTATGTGTCATCACAATCCTAAAGAACAGTAGTGTTAATGAATTATATTAAAGTCTACAGGACCTTGGGGCTAAAGCTAGCATCCATTGATCCATAGCTAAGTGAGGAAAACTCAGATCCATGGCAAACGAGCAGGTCTTGGGATTGACAGAAGTAAAGTTTTCACTTATGAGGGGGCTTAAAAGCCTGGGCCATGGTAAAAATTACCAACACAACGGATTCCTGTTCCTTCACCAGCTGGGCTTCAAAAGCAATTAAAGTTAGTGACTGATAAGCAGGGTGCAAGATAGGACCGTAAAACAGAAGGTCCAAAATGAACCAGGAGTGGCTATTTGGTATCTGCGACCAAACAAGAATGGAACAGCGGGTTCATTATGACCCTTTGGGAGCTCTCAAAATATTAGGCATTCCTTTTGACTCAATCTTAGTTCAACAAAGAAGCATTGGTGGTAGAATTACATACATAAGGGAGTATTACATCCAGTGAGCAACCAGAGCATCCACATCATCTGGTGTTTTCCACCCATGACAGATCTGACAAAATGTCTCCTGATGGAGAGACAGTTCTCCTGGGTCAAGGCATCAAGAGGTCTGTCTGGATTCCTCCTGTCACGAGACCTTGCACTAACACGCCTTGTATCCATGATGGGGATCTGCCCTCAAACAATATTGGTGACCGATGACATCATAGCAAGGAAGCCTTGGACTGTGGCAGAACGTGAATCTCCCTGACCAGGAAGATCTGTCATGCCCGGACAGTTTAACCCTCTGTAAGGCCCTGGTGTAGAACTGAGGAAAGAGGACTGCCTCAAAGAATAAAACCCATGAGGGCATATAGTCCAGGAATTGAGTAGGAATCTAACATTTCAGGGCCACGCAGGGTCCCTTCTTCTGGGCGACATAGTGACCGCACTATGTCGCCCAGAAGAAGGGACCCTGCGTGGCCCCGAAACGTTGGCTTTTTGACGCATGTGACAATTTAATAAAAAGTGCTTTACTTCTTGCATATATCATCGAGTGCTGGTGACTTCTATTATGGACTGCCTCTGACACGGCGCCATCCGTGCTGTCACTTCAAGCACCAACTTCTCATCCAAGGTCTGTGCGCTGTATGGAGTGCAGGTGATTTTGTATTATTAAATGGATTTCTGGACATTCACCAACCAAGATAGCATAGAATGATCTGCACTTAGGCTTGAAAGTCTTGAGTTAATGCCACTTCTGGATGTTTTCGAAGTCTGAAAACAGGATTTTTGTCTACCTGTAAAATCTGTTTCTTGGAGTACACTACAGGACACAGGAAGTTACGTCTTGAATAGATGTGTTATGCTTGCATATTACAGCACACTTACCTTACAAGCGTGCACTTCCCCAGCGCTGTCAGATGGATATTTGGTCCTCAGCTTTGTCCCCCACTGCCGACACTTCCAGGTTCTTGGAAGTCCTGTTTGGCCACTGTTCCTATAATTCCTGTGTTACATTCTCTCTGGCACCTGGCCCATTCACTGCATCTTAGAGATACAGTATGCAGTGTACACACAATATAAAAATCACTTTTGGAGAGAGGAAGATTTGTTTTTGGTAAGAAGGGACTTTGCCTGTCTTTTTGGCCAAACATCCCTACCCCCCAGAATTTATTTTTTTCACTTTACTTTTGCTTTAAAGATGAACTTCACCACACTTTACTTGTTTTTAATTACAATCCCTCTTACAGGGTTTGCTGGATTACGCTCAATACACATACTCACACGCTCAGCGAATCCAGCGGCATGCTGTAGTGATCTGCTGCTGCATTCCAGGTCCTATGTCACCATCTTCTTCTCTGACCTCATAAGAGATGGACCAGCTGTCTTTTTCTGGTTCTTGTAGCCAGCTCCCTGATGATGTGCACTGGCTAATGTTCATTTTCGGTAGATTGCTCCACATCCTCCTGCGATGAGTGATGTGATTATCCCAGGAAGCTGTAGGGGTACAACATGCCACTGCTAGAGGCAGGCTTCCCAATCATGTGATCAGCTGTCACATGATCAGGAGCCTGTCCCACTGCCTCCAGATGGTAAATGGATATCCTGAACTGTTATTTTATTGCATAGTCGATGAGTGCTCACTAACAATTATCCCCATCCTGGGGCTATCACTGTAAATAAGAGACAGCTGAGCTGCCATGGCTGTATGTACACGTTGCATTGGCTGCAGACACTGTGTGCAGGCTCCACATACAGCCATGCACCCTTCTTCTCAGACACGTTATGTGAATGCACAGAGACACATACATGAGCTCTTACCAGGCCCAGAAGATCGATCTCCTCCAACCCTGTACAGCTCCTACACACAGGAAGTGAAGTGAGCAGTCAGCACTCCTGGAAAGCTTTTCCCTACACAACACGGCCGGATTGCTGCTCACTGCTGCCCTGCCCCGGCGAGAGGAGGAAGCTCGCTCTGTCATTTTGTTTTAAAAAAAATATTGTTATTAAAGTTTTTTTAGAAAAACATGCAAAAACGGGAAGACCGAGTTAGTAGCGGTCTTGGGAGGCACGTGCTGTGTCAGGTGACACACGGTGCGCTATCAGTCTGTGAGCAAATGCCGTGCGCTGTTTTCACTGGTGATGTGGCCAAGACTCTATGAACTGGTCAATATTAATGTAAGTGTACGTACCGTCGTGCTAGAGTCCTTCAACCTCACAGCCGACAAATAACCGGGCATGCTGTGTGCATTCTGAACCTGCCATCTGTAGTAGTGTCTTCCCTCTTGTATTACCCATATATTGCCACTAGATGGCGCTGTGGTGTCTCTGCACCGCCACAGCTGAAGCGTACTAAACCCAAGTACATATGATGCGATATAGTGCAGCTTACCGATCCATAAAGAAAATCTCAACTTTAGTTACAAATTGTTATTTAAGCATACGAAGTTGCTGCACAAGCCATTTTGTAATCGAACCACTTTGCGTGATTTTTTGCTGCACGATATGTGTGCAAATGTTTATCAAATTGATATTTTTAAGAAAAACTACGCTAAAGTCCATCTTAGTGCACACAAACAGAATATAATACCCAGTACAATATAAATGAAGGGGGGAGAAGTCCGGTGTCGTCGATGTCCGTGACGTCACCGGATCGCCGGCGGGACTCCCGGAAGCCGGCGGAGAGGTGAGAGTTTTCATTAACGATCAAAATTATTTTAATTGATCAAAAAGTTTAACGATTAATCGAGAAATGAATCTTTAATTTCCACAGCCCTAAAAAAATGGGGTTGTGTTGGGTAAATAGATAGCAAATATGCAAGCCATTTAATTGCTTGCACCTGTGAAATTACAAAAAACTACAGTATCCAAAATTGCCATAGGTGTTGCCGTATAGGTGATGCTTTAAGCCTATACCGCTCATCAGTTTAGAGATACAGGGAGCGATGGTGCTAAAATGATTGCTCTAACTCTGATGTTTTTTTAAAATGTATTTTATTGTTTATCCGATTAACCGATTAATCCAACTTAATAATCGGCTAACTAATCGATTTTGAAAATAATCGTTAGCTGCAGCTCTAGTTTGCTGCCATATGTAACGTGTAGTGCAATCATCGTTTTTGCACATATCGACCCCATTGTAGGTGAGCTGATGAAGCACAGATCGTGCTTCACTTCTGGGTTCAGTAATTGGAGGAGAATTCAGCCACTGGAAGTGTGTTGATCTCCCTACAGTACAGCGGTGGACTCGCCACTGCTTATGTGGGCTGAAGGGGCAGCTGCTTTTGGCCCCACAACAATGATTGGGCCCTGGGCGACTGCCCCTTTTGCCCTGCGTTAAAGACGGCCCTGGACACATGTCAGTATATACTGAGAGCGCCGCAACCGGGACAGATCCCGACAATGCTGTCGAGATCCACCCAGCTGGCTGATTGACAGCGGGCTCTGCCTATTTAGAGGCAGAGCCAGCTGTGCCCGCCCTCTCCCCTGTCCGTTTCTCCACTCAGCGCTGGAGGATCGAAGGAGGGGGGGAATCCCTGCGGGGAGCCGTGACCGACAGTCACCGCACTCTGCAGGGAGATCGGAAAGTGAGCGAGCGACGTTATGCGCTCGATAACTTCCCGATCTATAGAGTTGACCTGTGACAATTTCATTATCCCAGGTCGGCTTGAACTATGACGATGATCTCCTTTTAAGTAAAAAAAAAAAAAAAAAAAAATTCTAAAAAAAAAAAGTTAGAATATAAAAGCAGTCAAAAAACATTTGTATTAAGTTCCTGCGTGCGTGCCTACATGCACATACTAATGCAAACACATGTCCAGCATGTCCTATGCATGAAAATTAGGATTTTGCTACATATGCTTGCTATCGCCGAACGCGCTGGGGTGTCTAGGGCCATTATTCATGGTTAACTCTAAACTGACGACCTGTAAAAGCTTTTAAAGTGTCGCTTATAGACAATTATTTCATAGTTTTTCACCATAACACGGTTGCACGCAATTTTGAAGCTTGATATGGTATCTCTTTAGATGGCGCAATCTCAACTTTTATTTTTTACCAAAAAATTGTATAATATATTGTGTTTATTTGCATTAAAATTAAACTAAATGTTTTTTATACTGAAAATGTGGGTTTTATAAACAGTTGCGCTAATATCATGCGACATAAAACATTGCACCTGCCACCATTTTATTCTACAGGATGTCCACTTTTAGGAAATATATCATTCCAGGGGTTTTAAATTATCGTCAGGCCTACAATTTGCATTTTAACCTGTGCTCAAAAAATTTCTCTGGCAGCGAAAGGGTCAAAGGCTTTAAGAAATCTGCTTGAAGCTAGCAAAAAATTTGATGTTCACGGTCCTCTGTACAACCTGAAGCTTCTGTAAACTAGGCCTAAGGGTTAACTACATTTAAAGGGATGCAGACACTACAACTTTCCTCATCAGAACACTGAAAGTGCACCAGGTGTTTAGAATGAACCCAGACCCTCCCATTCAGGGATCAGTTTGGAAAGGACATGCTGCAACAAACAGCTGTTTCTTTAGAACAGAAACAAGTAGGAATCTGCAATACGCATTGATCACCCAGATGGGATTGTTTTCTCCTCAATTAAAATGGAGTTACACTTTTTACCTGTTGGCGGCATTCGTTTTTATTTGTTTAGGCTTTTTTTCCTTTATTTTCATCTGGTGTTCCAGCCAGTAACACACTTCCTGTCTTCGGGTGGTATGGGGGAGCAATAACAATGTAGCCGCCCTTGGACAGCAGCATTGCCAACCTGTAGAGAGGATAGTGTTAGGTGGCTGTACTAGCAGATTTACATGGACTTGGTTAACTTTTTAAACTGTTACAGCGGTAAAGTTTATTTTTCATAAGTGAATAAAAGCTGATAATTGCAAGCACCACTGTGAGTGTTAAATGGTTTGTCTCAGCCCTCCATTTGCCACTTTTGCTGGACAGTTTGTTAAAGGAGAACTATGAGGTGAGTGCATTTTACTCACCTCATAGTTCTAGCCGACCTGTGACAATGAGACTGTCACAGGTCGGCTCAGTAGAGCGGGAGGTGAGCGAACACATACTGACGTTCGCTCACTTCTCGATCCTGTCACGGCTCTCTGCCGTGAACGGGAGGGGCTGGATTCCCCCCTCTCCACTCCTCCAGCGCTGACTGGCGGAACGGACGGTGGAGGGGGCGGGTACAACTGGCTCTGCCTCTAGGTAGGCAGAGCCAGCTGTCAGACACGCAGCTGGGCGAATCCAGACATAATTGTTGGGATCCGCTTCAGCTGCGGCTTCTCAGTATACCACGAGCTACAGCTCACAGTATACTGAGCCTAGGGTGACGGGAGGACGCTAGTTTGTGTCCTCCCGTTACCCTAAGGAGAACTATGGGGGAAAGCCTTAACCCCATAGTTCTCCTTTAAGTTAAAGGAAGCTGAAAAGTAACAGACTTACCTGTCTGTTTACCAGGTGAAAAAAGCTTAAAAATGGAAAACTGATGCAGCCACCACATTTAGTGATTGGTAAGCTGCAATATATAATAATTTTGCTTTTGGGTTTAGATACACATACAAGTATTTGAATAAGATTACCAGAGATTGCACTTTGGAAGGTCTAACCATGGGATATGTGAATATTGAAATACAGTTACGGAAAAGCAGTATTCTAACAGTAAATTATATAAAGCATATCCCCAGGTTTAAAAAAAACCCCTACCCTTGCAGTGGGGCAACCCCAGCACTACAAGTGTTAAGTTGCTTGTTTACATCTGGAGGTATTGTGAAGAGGACTATTTCTTACCTGATCCACGCTCCAGGCAGTCGGCACTCACCTCTCTCCCCTCCCTCCACTCCGGCTGTGGACTATCCCTCGGCATCTTCACATACAGTATAACGCCGGGCTATAGACCTTGCATTAGTCAAGACGACATCAGAAGGTCACTGGAGTTTAGGGGGGGAGAGGCTGCAGTCACCTGTCTTGGAGCCAGAAGGAGCGGGGATTAGGTAGGTAACAGTGCTTTACTTAGGTCCCCTAGACAAAAACAAGCAGTTAACCCTTGCAGTGTAGGGGTAGACTCACTGCAAGGGTAGTTTTTTTTTCCAACTGGAGATAGGCTTTAAAGCATAGTTCCTGTGTAATTATTGTGCAGAAGGGGAGCAGATGAAGCCTCAAATGGAAGATCATGGCTATCACTGTATGCAGCACAGATTGCTACAGTGATTTTCAGAAGCCTTCTGGAGACCAGATATGGATACTTTCACTGAACCAGGCTGGAGCAGTGTAAGTATCCATGACCGATCATTCCTGGAGTTTTGCTTTAACTGCACTCATTATTTTATAACATTATCATTTTTTATTTAGCAATAGGTATAACGTCATTTTTTTTTCAAGTGAAGAAGTTCTTTACCCCAATCAAAGTTGTTATTTCTCATGAATATTATCTCCTCTTTCGGCTTTCCTTAGAGGAGCACTCATAGAAACATATAGCAAATGCCAGCATGAAGCTAGCATGCAATAGTAAACATGAATTGACTTTTACATACAATGTCCCCAAAAGCAATATTATTTGCATGCAATAATGCAGTAATGACATTAGAGATTTTCATGTGTCTCAGTATCCCATTGTTATTTTTATTTTTACAACTAAATATTTTTTTCTTTTTAGCATTTACAGTATATTATATAAATTCCCCAAACGAATGCCCTTCTCCTACTGATGAGATGATGCCAGCTCCTGCTTACCTTAAGGTGCCCATACACCTTACGATTATTGGACGATTTTCGTATGCGACCGACTTTACGTCCGATAATCGTATGTGTGCATTGCAGTGTCTGACCGATAGTACTGTACAATCGTACGACTTTTGACGGT